GTCAGGCAGCCTTCGGCAGCATGCCTGCGGGAGGTCCGCCGGTCCCACGGTTTCGGCGGCAATTCGGCGGCGGGTATGCCGAAGGCGCGGGACCGCAGGCATGCCGCCGAATCTGCGTTACCAGCGGACTTCCCGCCGAAGGCTGCCTGACTGCCGTGCTTGGGGAAGCAAAATACATAGAGCCGCCCCTGGCTTTATATGCTATAAGCTGAAATGTAAGTACAATATTTATATTCCAATTGATTTATTGTATAATGATATGGTAAAAATGCCGGGTTTGTGGGCATGTGGATGGAGACGACAAATATTATGGCCCAGCGCTTATGATATTTCAATGCCACTTTAAACTGTTTGATTTTCATAAGGGCAGAGTGACCACAGCTCCCACTGGCCCTGTTTCAGAATGTTTCGTATTGGAGATGGGTCTGTACTGCTGGATCCAGTTCTGGGATCCAAACGCTGCAAAACTCAAGGTATTAAGTGCTGGGATTCTGGCGCAGGGGGGCCTCTGATTCCCTCCCCCTCCAATAGCGCTGATGTGCTGGAGAGCTAACCAGGGAAAGCTAACGTCTGGCAATGCTCCAGTGTAACAAACCAGTGTCATCCCTATACGTGTGTCTTTCCCCATCTCTGTATGTCTTTCTGCACGTTCCCATAATCTAACAGAAACAAATCACCGTAGGACGGAGCCCATTTTACTCTTAGTCTGACCAGACAGCACGTGTGAAAAATCGAGACGGGGGTGGGGGGTAATAGGCACCTATATAAGACAAAGCCCTAAAAAATCGGGACTGTCCCTATAAAAATCAGGACATCTGGTCACCCTAGCCTTCCTGAATTTCTGTGCACTTGGGTGTCCAGAGCATCCATTGGATGCAAATTTAAAGCCTATTGCATGGCATGTAACTCCCAGGCATAGTCAGCTACAGGATGGTTCTCTTAAAACAAGAATGTGGCATCTACATGTTTGCAGAGGGGACCTGAATCTTGTCACACCTCTGTGCTCTACGACTACAGCATCTAAATTAATCGTTTCATATTTGGAATTTGATTTTGACCCTGTGTGACTTCCATGGTGAGGTACTTATCTGGTCCCCAACACTGTAGGGTGTGGGCACCTCCCAACCTTGAATATTTTTAGCCTCACAACCCCCTGTGAGGCAGGGCAGTGCTATTACTCCCACTGTACAGATGGCAGAAACTGAGGCAGAGAGGCTAAGCCAACTTGCCCAGGTTCTCACAGAATGTTTGCAGCAGAGCAGGAATTGGACCTAGGTCTGCCACAACCCATGCTAACCACTGCCCCTCCTCTTCCTCATTATAGTGAATCAGATTTCCAGCTAAGTGTATTAAGAGCCACATATCTAAGCGATGCCAAGAAAAGACCCCAAGCCACACAGTTTGGATCTGTCTCCAAAACTCGTGGATGGTGGATTTGGGATTTTAGTGTGAGCCAATAGCTGTGGGAAAATGCAAAGTTTGAGACAAGATAGAACAATGGTCCAATACAGAATGGATCTTCCCACATATCCCAAATTGCCTCTAGGACCTGAGATTCTGCTCTATTAACTAGAGCTATTTGGGAAGTGGGTCCCATCCCCAGTGAACGTTTGGATTTTTAACTCAGAAAAATCAAACAGCCCCCGAAACTGAAGATTTTCTACCAAAATCCTAAAAGTTTTCTGACAATTTTTCTCCAATGTTCTCTTTTTTGGGGAGGGTGATTTGAGGGACTTTTTCAGCTAAACACTGTTAGCAAAACCATTTGGTTTTCTGCCAAAACGATTGGTTTTCCAACAAAAAAGTTCAAAGTATTTTTTTCAAATCTATTTTCTAGACACTTTTCATGAAATTTCTCACTTTGTCCAAACCCCAATTTTTCATCAAAGCAAAGATTCAATAAAAAATTTCCAATGGCTCTCAAACCCTGCTAAGCGTATGCATCACCGTTCTGCCCCTTTATTGGGCGCCAGGCTGGGTGCTGGGCAAATCAGAACAAGACCCTGCAGGCCTGGATACCAGCTGCCACGTGGGATACATGGCCTGCTTCTTTGACTTCTAACCCCAGCCCACGCGCTCTCTCGTGGACGGCTCTCTGCCCCTTCTTCTGCATGCCACGTAGTCCAAATCTAAACCAAGGTGACTTGAATTGAAAGCAACTGATTTGTCAGGCAGGGGGCTCTGGTTTGAACGGAGCTGAAGCTTAGCACAGAGACAGGTCGAAAGCAGAACCACTGATCCAGACCACGCCCCACTGGGCCCCTGGAACTCTGAGCTGACATGAACCCATCAGCCTTTGGTTCAATGTTATCTTAGCCCGTTTCCTCCTGTCCTCTCTCTTTGTGTGCTTAAAATCAAAGCTGCCAAAACAAGAGAGAACACAAACCCAGAAGCCCAAGGGCCTGATGACTAAGGGGCATTAGAGACTGGCACTAGCTGAATTTCAGTGCTATTGCTGGAGTTCAAATAGAGTTTAAACCCTGCATGGTATCTTTTCAGACAGCAGACTCATGTCAACTCTGACAACACAGGCTCTCACACAGCCCAGCAGCTAGAGCTGTCCCGTCCCCGCAGATATGCTAGAGGTTTGCTGCGGCAACCGCCATTGTATTACCAGGCAGGGAAGGCAGCAACGTTCTGGGCTGCAGTTGGGTATTTCTCGGTCTTTTCCAAGGGGTGGTTCAGAATCCGGGCAATGCAATCTTATTTATTTATAACCTGTTACTAATTCCTTGGGCTACGGACACTCCCATTCTCAGTCACGTCTTTGCTAGACTTTTTCAGCTCCAGGTCACTGACTTGCTGGAGGTACGGAACACATTTGTAAATACTAGCCAGGATGTTCCCCTCACACTTGATCCGGGTGGCACGTGGTTGTAGTTTACCGTCAGCTGATCCCTTGAGAGAGCTCTCTTGAAGCAAAATCCTACTGGAGACAAGGCAGTGGTAGCTTTTATCTCCATGTAGCTAGTTGGGGTCAACCCTCTTCCCCACCCTTCATCCATCAGGAGTTTACTTTAAGGGGTACATTGGGGTAAAAAAATAAAGCCCCGTGCCTTGTCTCTACTTGGAATTTACATTGAAGTAGCGATCTCTGCGTAAATGCACCTCTTCTTGCAGTGAAGACATAGCACCAAGTAAGCCACAAACATGCACGGCCTTGATTAGATGTGTGGGGAGTGTCCATACTAGCCTTTACAAACATGTTAAGTACCATTGTCCCCTTGGTCCCAGCCGTGAGGCAATTTTCAGGGTCTGGCAAGTCTCGTTCAGTTAGGAAAAGAAACTGACAATACGTATTTGTTTGGTTGGATCCTGTTTTGTTTACAAAGAAGGCACGCATACAGTTTGCTTGTTTCCCTGAACACAATAGAAACAAACAGCAAGCAGTTTCCTGGCTTTCAGTTTCCAGCAGTTACAGGCCACAAGGAGCTCTCTCTCTGCTCCCCCACCACAACTGCTTCTCTCGCTGACACACACACACACACACACGCACGCACACACACACTTGGGCCTAGCCTCTGTGTCTGCAATCAGGGAAGCCCACATGGCTCAGCTTCTGATCTTGCCATTGACTTGGGTGGTGACTTCTACTGTTGCCATGTATCTCATGACATAAAGGGGCTTAATTGCTCCTTCTATTGAGCCTGGAAGAAAGGTGCTTAGCACATGTTTTGGCTTTAATCACAGGGCTGTGATTGTATGTAGATCAAAGAGCATTAACATCCTCCACATAACAGTATTTTGAGTTCCCTGGCAGTCGATTTACAGGAGGCAGATACTCATTCGAGGACCACATTCTAGACCCACTGAAGTCTAATGCTTAAACTCCCATTGACTTCAGTGGTCCTAAGAAAGAGAATGGGACTTGCAGAATAAATGCATAACACCTATGTAAAGTGCTGGCTTGCCAGTGCTGAGAAGCGTTGTCCTCTGTTTGTTCTCATTGGGTTCAATCAATACAGTAAATGCTGATTTTTTTTTTTTAACAGCTAAGTACAAGCGGGAGATAGCCAAGGTGTTCCTACAACTCTGGCAATCCTGACAGTCAAAGTGGCTCATATGGGGTGTGGGCGGGCAGGGTGCATAGAATCATAGAATATCAGGGTTGGAAGAGTCCTCAGGAGGTATCTAGTCCAACCCCCTGCTCAAAGCAGGACCAATCCTCAGTGCAACTGTAACCTGAACAGGGGGCAAAGAAGTCTGAATATAAGGGAAGCACTAAATCTGTCGTGTGATGAGTGGAACTTGAGAAAGAGGGTCAGGTTTCCGGAGGGATCTGGTTCGGGGAGGCACCAGGGGCTTAGCAATGCATGCTGGGGCCAGGCTGCTGGGGCACAAACACCGGAGCTTTGGCATGTAACACTGGCCTCTTAGGCATATTTGATAAAGTCTTATCTTTTGCATCTGTGCCTGCCTTCCTCCTCCCTTATTGTTAATGACATCCCCGGCCCTGGTCAGACCTTACATGCAAACTGTGAACAGATATGAGCTAGAATCACTGCAAGCCAATAAACCTGGCAGCTCCTGGTGCCATTTCGGTCACTTTTCAGAGCACTTGAGCATTTTTGACGTTGAATATCAGTATTTCTTTCTGTGAGCCGGAAGATCTTCTGCTCTTCCCTGAGGCATGAGTCTGAATAAGTCTCTTAACTTGAATCCTGACCGGTCCAACTGCAGATGCTCTTTGTGTCTAATTCTTCCCTGAATTGTGTCAAGTGTTTGATGAGATCCTTCAGCAGTGAGTCCTACAGGCTAATCACGTACAGGACTTGCCTATACTACAAAATTGTGCCAACCTGAACTATCCTAGTACAATTTTGAAGTAATACAATTCCCCTATAAAGATCAGGGCAGCTTATTCCTTTTCTGTGTGGTTTTAACCACACTAAGGTAAAAGGCAAAGCCACATCTTTGTCCGGCCTGACTATTTTGGAACAAAATTGCACCAAGCAAAATAATTTGACTGGTCTCACTTTCAAGTGTTTGATGAGGTCTTAATGGAAGGCCCTTCTGCAGCGATAGTGTTAGCCTGTACCAAAAAGAGGAGCCAGGAAAAATGGGGTGGGGAGTTGGATGAGAGGGAGAAAATAAGAGATAAGGGACTGTGGGGCGGGGGGGAAACCAATTCCACCGGGCCCACACTGCTTTTGTTCTGAAACTTTTTCGCCAGAGTAGACCTGTTGGCAAATACTTGGATGTTATGGTCTATGAAAAAGCTAAAGTCAGCCAACCAATCGACCAAATGTTTTTTACTGACTTTTTTTGGATTTTGATTTTTTTTTTAATCCCATTGTTTTTGTTGCTCAACAAATTTGACAGCCGTGGAGGATTTTTTCTTGCAAACATCTCCATTTCATCCCAAAGGCATTTAAAACAAAACACAACAAACTTCAGACAGCTGACCCAAAGTCCTCTGACGTCAATGGGAGTTGTTCCATTAGGATCAATCCATGAAACTATGTTGGCTACTGAGGTGTAGAAAGCGGCCAGCAAAACCGTTCCTTTTGGTAGCCCGCTGGCCTCCTGGGGCCACAGAGTAGATGTAGCTGCTCCCCAGCTCTGGTCCTTTACTTTCACAAAGGATCCTGGGTCCCCGAGGTGGTTTTCATGTCTCCGTGCCAGGGCAGAGCTCTGTTTGAGGTGGAGGAAAGCGGTGTCCCATCGAGGCTGATCGGGATCCGTTTGCTTTGTTGTGCAATTAAATAATCATTGTCGGTTTAATCCTTTAATAAACTTCCCTGGGACACAGAACGCTCGTGGGGTGCCTTGGGGCTCTCTCAGCCTTGTCTCAGGCATCTGCTGCCAGCTGCGCTCAGGAGACCCGAGAAAGAGCTGGGAGAGGTAATTGTCTACCTTAATCTCCTTTCAAAGAGGTCTTTGATGGGAATTGAATTCTGATGAAAGACTGCTGGGTTGGCAGCCTTGGAGATGGGATGTTCTCTGTCAGCCCCATGGGAGAGATACAGGGCGGGAGTCATCTGCGCCAACGCACCATGCCACCCATGGCGCAAGCCCTGATCTTGTTGAATCGGTATTTTGGGATGAGAGGGGGGTGAATTTCCAACCAGGGCCTGAGATCTAAAGCTCAGTGTTGGCACATGAGAGTGCAGGAGACGGGAGAGGACAGCTAGAGCGAAGAGCAGGACATTGGAAGAACAGAGGTGCATGCAAAGTCTTGAAAGCAAGAAGATCTGGAAGTAGAGACGCAAAGCAGGACGCTGGCGAGCGGGTGGGAGCTGGGAGAGGAGGGGTGGCTTGACTGAGGACTTTAGCAATGTTTTGGCTAGATGGGAGAGGGAGGCAGGGAGCCCACCCAACTACGGGCTCTCTCATGTACTGATCATCCGATAGCGAGAGCAGATTAAACACTGATCACTTTCAAAAACAAGAGACCCCTGGCGCTACAAGGGGTGGTGCAGCTGTGTTCAATCCACCCCAGGGATCCTGCCTCTTGACATAACTCCTGCTGGGTCTACACTTCTCCCCACCTGCTTTCTCTTTGTTCCAAGGCAGGAACAACCGTGTATAAGTGCTGGTTAATCGGGTTGGGTCGGACACTGCGTTTGCTCTTTGTCTCTATGTTCTTTGCAGGCAGAGGCATGCCGGCCTCCACTCTTGGGTAAATGCTTTAATTAAAGCAGGCTTGGTACAGAGAGGGCTCTCAGCAGCTCTGTTCCCCACACAGCCAGGGTGCGGCTGGGTGTCAGAGCAGATGAATCTGCCTGAGCATTAACTCAACCTTGTAAACAGCCTGTGAAATTAGTGGAAAGAGACCCATTGAATTCAACGGACATAGGATCAGCCTTTTTGATCAAGAGAGAACATGGTAATTCCCGAAGACTCTGCTGGGGCTGGTAACAAAGAGAGAGGCAAAGACTCTTAGCCTATTAGATGTGCGTGAATGCTTACTGCAAACCCATAAAGGGCAAGAGCACATCAAAACTAATGTTTGAAGTGCCTATGAGCCTATGGATGTTGGTAGTTTGGCGTATGAGCCCCCAGGGACCAGTGAAGCAAAGGACGACCTTGTTATCCCCGTCTATGCAAAGCCCTTTTAGTCTCCAAGGCAACAAAATATTCCATGAGGCTTGGCTCTGCAAAGTTGCAGCTGAAACTCTCTTGCCCGGAGTGCCGTGGGACCCTTTTAACAACCGAATGTGGGCAGGAGTGCCACTATGCACCGTAGCTGAAAGGTGGCATCGTGGGCACCACAGCGCCCCCTAGTGCCATGCTGGGGCCTTGGTTGAACACTGACTTGGAAGTACGAGCACCACGTGTGGAGTTTGCAGCACCTAGCCGTTCCGTGGGGGTACCTCCTACCCAAGTGTGGACAAGGCCTGGCCCTGGGTTTGGCTTGACAGATCCCAAGCTATTGAGCTGGTGTAAATCAGTGTAGCTCGTTAGCCCCAGGAGTGTGGCTCTGGGGAAGATTACATAGCAAGCAGTGATGCATCTATTGCTTTCTTTGCAGTCTCCCCCGGGGGCCGTTCAGGAAGCCATGGAGGTAGCTTTAAATGCTGGATATCGGCACGTCGACTGTGCTTATTTTTACCAGAACGAGGCCGAGATCGGAGCAGCCCTTCAGAAGAAGCTGGGGGAAGGGAGGCTGAAGAGAGACGAGCTTTATGTGGTGAGCAAGGTGAGCCCCGTTTTCCTTCCAAACAGAAGCCCAGGATTGCCAATTCTTTCTAAGTTACCCCAAGACTTGGGATACTGGGTGGTTGTTTTTTTTTCTCATGGCCTCTGCGCCTGGACTCATGATACGGTGAAAATTTCAGCCTCCGCTAAATAAAAAATGATTTCCTAATCCCCTCGGTTATTCACAGAAGCTGCAAAATGAGACCCACGAAAGGCCAGAAGGCAAATAAGACCCTATGGCTTTTTAAGCCAATCTCATGGATTCTGGGGGACCTGACTCATGAAGGCTTGATGTTGGCTGTACTGTATGTCTTGTGGATTGAAATGCAATTATCAAAGAGCGGCCACTCCCAGTGCAGAACAACAACTTTATTAAACTTTCTAACTTACTAGAGATGATCAAAAATGGACAATGGGACCGGTTTCCATTGGAAAATGCAATTTTGTCAAAATCTAAACCATTTTGCAGAAACATCGCAATTTTGGTGAAATTGTGATGGAAAAATGTCAAAACACATTGTTTCGACTGTCTCATTTCATTTAACTTCCACTTGCATATTTTTGTGTTGTTCCAGACTGTATTATGTTGACCTTAGTAAAATGAAAAGTTTCAATGTTTCCAAATAAAAACTTTTCAGAATTTTCACCCTACTAGAAATTTCAATTTGTTGGAATTTTCCAAGGATTCAAATTCCGTTTTTTGCCCAGTAGTGCTCCGTGTTCTTATATGCCATTCAATAGTTAATAGAATTAGTGCTAGCTACATATATACAAACATCTCACTTTTGTGGAGCACACCCATAGCTACTATAGAATCACAGAAATGTCAGGCTGGAAGGGACCCTAAGAAGTCATCAAGTCCAGTCCCTTGCACTGAAGCAGGACCAGGTAAACCTTGACTATCCCTGACAGGTTTTGTCCAACCTGGTCTTAAAAACCTCCAGCAAGGGGATTCCACAACTTCCCTTGGAAACCTGTTCCAGGGCTTAACTACCCTGAGGCCTGGTCCATACTAACCCCCCACTTTGAACTAAGATACGCAACTTCAGCTACGTGAATAACGTAGCTGAAGTCGAAGTACCTTAGTTCGAACTTACCGCAGGTCCAGACGTGGCAGGCAGGCTCCCCCTTCGACTCCGCGTACTCCTCTCGCGGAGCAGGAGTACCGGCGTCGACGGCAAGCACTTCCGGGATCGATCCGGGATCAATTTATCGCATCTAGACAAGACGCGATAAATCGATCCCAGAAGATCCATTGCTTACCGCCGGACCTGGAGGTAAGTATAGACCTACCCTTAGAGTTAGAAAGATTTTCCTAATTTCTAACCTAAATCACCTTTGCTGATGGTTTAACCCATTACTTTTTGTCCTACCTCCAATGAACATGGAGAACAATTGATCACATTTTTTATAACCGCCCTTCACATATTTCAAGACTGGTATCAGGTCCCCACTCAGTCGTCTTTTCTCAAAACTAAGCTATAGTTATGATATTATCTCAGACTCTGTTTATGATGCAAGTAACAAAGGCCCATGGTAGGTTCCTACAACAATAAGCGGCAATGGAATGCTAAATAGAAGAGATTCCCAAACTGGGTGTACCTGAGAGCTGATTGGTCACATGGTGCTGGCTCCTCCTCCTGGTTTCTTGCTGAGAAGAGCAGACCAATAGGAGCAGGGATATGGAATGAAGAGCAACATTTGACTTGTTGCTCTAAGGCCCGGTAGGAACACATAATTTGTATAGAGTAAAATGCTGGGGAAAGGGATGTCGGTTTTGCTCTTGGAGAGGAAGGATTGTGCTGCGGTGAAGCCACTGGACTGGGATTCAGGAGATCTGGCTTCGGTTCCTGACTCTGTCACACCCTCCCTCTCTCTGTGCTTCGGTTCCCCATTGATACAGCTCATTATACTCCCGTTCTCCTACTCTTTGTCTGACCATGCTCCCACATCACAGAGGCAGCCTGGTCCTGTAGAACAGATGGTGGATTGGGAGTCTAGAAACCTGGGCTCTATCCCTAGCTTTGCCACTGACCCGCTGTGTGACCTGGAGTAATTCACGTCCCCTCCACGTTTCTCCTCCCACCCTGGGTCTGTCTCTTCTATTTAGACTGAGCTCTGCAGAGCAGGGACTGCCTCTCTCTACATGTGCATATAGCGCCCAGCATAAGGGGCCCTCATTTTGGTTAGGTGCTCCTGGAATACAACTAATAATGCAACTATCTTCTCTGGGCAGCTGTGGAACAGCTTCCATGCCCCACAGGATGTGAGGCCAGCTTTCCTGAAAAGCCTGACGATGCTGAAGCTGGATTACCTGGATCTCTATCTCATGCACTCTCCAATGGGCTTTCCGGTAAGGTGGATTCTCTCTGAGCTGATGGCATTTATTTCCCTTTCTTCCCCCTAGCCACACAGCAGTTTACATGGCGACGAGTCAGTGCAGGACAGAACTGGGTTTCCGTTTGTAATTGTCAAGAGGCAAAACAAGGAAGGCTGGGTTGTCCGTCCGTGGCAGGTCGACAGCCCCTGAGTGTGTTGTCTGGTTTCCTTTTGCACTTCTAGGAAGCATGCTCGAGTGGCTAAAACGCGAAGCTGGGACTCAGGATTACTAGGTTCAACTCCCAGTTTAACCACAGACTTACAACACGACCTTGGGCAAGTCACTTGATAGACCCTGGGCCTCAGTTCTCTCTATGTCACATGGAACTAACATTACTGTCCTGCCTCACAGGGGTGTGAGGTGCTCAGATAGTATGGTGATAAGATAAAGGTTCTGTTGCACCTTCCATCCAAGTAGCTACAAGGGCTTTAGAAACATGGAATAACTGGGCCCCTGTAGCGGGGTGAACACCCGCTCCAGCCCTGAAGGGGTTGGAAAAGCCCTGCAGAGGGCTGGGGCTGTAAAGGAGCAAAACCCCAGCTGATTGGGGAAGTGGCTGCAGCTGGGGCCATGCCCCAAACTGAGCCACTCAGCCTTATAAGAAGGCCAGGATAGCAAGAGCTGAGAAGTCTCCCTCTGACAGGAGAGAGAGACAGGCCTGGCTGCAGGGAACTCACCTGGGACCTAGAGTGAGGCAGGGCTGGGAAGCCCTAGGCCAGGAACTCCCCAGTCTGCAGGGCCTGGTCCTAGGCCCATATAGGTATTGGGGTTGCAGAGGGGCAACCTGAGGGTGGGTAAAGGCAGCCAGTCCAAACCCCTTGTTGCCTGTGATGATTGGCTGATAGACTGCAGTCTGCCTCAGGGCGCGGGGGCTAGATGGTGACTGGCAGTAGCCACGAATGAGATAACATTGGGATAGGGGGTGAGGAGACCCAGAAAGAGAGTGGGGTACTGCCAGAGGGGCAGCACCCAAGCCAAGGGCACCGGGGTCCGGGAGGGACACGGGGGCCAACGACAGGCGGATCACCGGCCTGCAGAGGGCGCTCTGGATGCTGGGTGAGCTAATTCCCAAGACAACCAGCAGGAGGTGCTGCAGGGGTGAGTCCACGCCTGATTACAGCCCCATTGTCTGACTTCCATGGATGGATGGCATAAGCCAACAGAGAACTTGGCTCATGTAGGCCCATGGGAGACAGTTAAAGGATAGCTTCCCTGGCAGCTGGAACACTGCCACCTCTGGGGTGGCACACAGCAACTATTTAACAGCAAAATAATCTAGGCTGGGAAATGAAGAAAATGAGAGGATCCAGTTGAACTGTAGGGGAAATCGAGGGTAATCGGGTGTTGGGCAGGGTGTAGGTGGGTCTTCTGGATGGGACATAGAAGAGTCATCCTGACCAGGCATGATCAATGAGGATCTCTTGGCGATTTTGGTAAGAGGAGGGGGCCTTGTGAGAACACCAGCGTTACACTCCATTGGGGTAATTACGCTTACTGCTGAATTGGATCTGCACTGACTCAGCAACACCAGAGCAGGGGAGTCTCCTATCCAAGTCGTGACCCAGCCTCGTTCTCCTTTGAGCTCAGGAGCCTGGACTGCTTCGCCGTGACTGCAATAGCGGGAGCGGGGTCAAGCAAACAGGCCGGGATATTCACTCTCTAGAAAAGCCTCATGCAGACCTCGCTGACGCTGCATCATCCGGCGCCCCTGCCTTTCTTTAGCACTTCCTCCTATTGCAGTAACTCTGACAGAGGTGGTGAGTGTTCCCCGGGGATGGACGGGCCAGCTGGGGTGTTTGATGCCTCGCCACTCATTCGGGTCAGGACTCTCAGCAGTTCCAGAGATGCACGTGGGATGCTTCCCCCTAGAAAGTGGCTCTTGGTCTGTTCCCCTGCAGAATATCAACGGGGAGCTCATGCCTCAGAAGGACGGCTTGCTTCTGCACTCGGATGTGGACTACGTGGACACCTGGAGGGTAAGAGGCAGTACATCAGGCCAAGTGCAATGACGTTCATTGGGGGTCACAAGCAGGAACAGAACCTGGGAATCTTCTGCACCTCAGCCCAAGCTGCTACTGCGTGAGCTAAAGGCGCAGTAGCAATGGGATATGGCACCTGAGCTACATGGAGGTATTTAGGATGGAGGGGGTCTCTCTAGGGTTCCTTGAAGGGGTCCCTTACCAGGGGAAGCCCTGATTTCCCACCTCCTGCGTGCCTCGGTGATGTGCGCTATTGCTGGATACCATAAGCACACAGGACCTGATCCAAAGCCCTTTGCAGCCAGTGGAAAGACTCTCATTGGCTTCGACGGGCTCTCCCATAGCGCACAGTGAACGGCGAGGAAAGAGCAGCGTAGGCTGCCCATCTCCCTCCAGTCGTAATGATCTTCATGGCTGGCTCGCGTTCCTCACATATATTTCCCGTCAGCAGCCTCTGCTGTCTCTCTGTGAAAGACAGAGAGACAGACTGAACGCGCCTGCCGCCGTAGCAATTGTTAATTACCAGCGAGGTTAAGAGCCACGAGCTGGGGCAGGGTTTTCGTCTGGCTGGAGATAATGGAATGGCCTCATTTAAAACATACAAAGGCTCTGAGAAGGAGCTAATTCGTCAGGGGAGGAGATAGGCAGTGCTCGCGTGCCGACAGAAATATTTTTAAACCTGTTCGGAAGGTGAACTAGAGCTACGATTCCAGTCAGCTCCCTTTCACCTTGTCGTTCTGGGTGTGTGCAGAAGGCTGAATTCGGGCACAGCACTGCAGCTTCAGTGGCAAAGCTGTCCTGTGTGGGCGCCCGAGGCGGAGGCTGCATTTTAAGGCGCTCCGTTCTCAGCACTGCCTGAAGGCCCAGACTAAGTACGTGGAGAGATGGAGATCAGTCACTTGAATCCGATTGATCACAGTCATCCCAGGAGCTGCACACCTGCCCTGGGTGGGCATGGAGGACAGAATCAGGGCTGGCTCCAGGCACCAGCCGACCAAGCACGTGCTTGGGGTGACACCTTGTAAGGGGCAGCCAATCTTGCGGGGCGGCGCTCGGGGTTGGTTAGTTTTGGTTCAGCGGGGCAGTGCTCGGGGGGGGGGGTGTTTGGTTCAGCGGGCCGGCGCTGGGTTTTTTTTGTTTTTTGGTTCAGTGGGACAGTGCTTGGTGGGGGTAAGCACAGGGGTAGGAACTTCTGTGGCCCATGAGAGCACCAATTGCTGGGCCTGGTCCATGCACATGGGCCCACCTCCTCAAAGGTATACAGGCCGATGTTCCTAAGGAGGTGGTGGGCTTTGACACAGGTGCTGAGCACCCACAGCTCTGGGTGGAGCCGGTGGCAGCTGCAAGGTTCCAGCACCCTGGCAAAGCCAGCCAGTGCATTGTCACTCGCCTGTTATTCCAGCAGCCCTCTGGGTTTCTCTAGCTGTGCGGGCCCAGCCCATGACCTGCTGCATAGAATCATAGAAGATCAGGGTTGGAAGGGACCTCAGGAGGTCATCTAGTCCAACCCCCTGCTCAAAGCAGGACCAATCCCCAACTAAATCATCCAGCCCTTCTTTGTTTTCTTGGCAGGCGATGGAGAAGCTGGTGGACGAAGGCCTGGTGAAATCGGTGGGGGTTTCCAACTTCAACGTCTCCCAGCTGGAGAGGCTGCTGTCCGTGTGCAGGATCAAACCTGCCGCCAACCAGGTAAAGGCTTGTGATTGGGCAGCGTCTGAGTTACACCTGTAACGGTGTAGTTTGCCGTGGTGGTCTAGGCTGGTCCCCGGCTATGAGAGAGACAAGGCGGGTGAGTCTCCTTCAGCTCTGTGCAGCTCGAAAGCTTGTCTCTCTCACCTGCTCTGCCTGTAGCAATGGTGTCTCCGCTCCAGGGAGTGCTTATGCTAGCTTTGCATTGGGCTGCTTATAGTTGCAAATAGTAACTGGGAAGCTGCTGCTGTGGCGTCTTCTGTACTGTGCTAAGCAGACTTTGGGTGTTTAATGCAGCATTCGAATGCCCAGGTTTGCAGCTTGGGCAGAGCCAGAGAGGTTGTGCTCGCTCTTTGAGGGCGTGGCCCAAAAGGGTTTCTTTGTATCCCAGAAGCACAGAGCCCAGCCAAGCGTGACTGCGAGACAGTCCCTGCACTGAAAAGCCAGCAGTCCAAATAGACCAGATGGGCAAAGGGGAAACCATCATGGAGAGGGGGAAGTTAAAGCCCAAATCTCATGGCTCCGAATTGCCCCTAACTAGGCCAAGCTGCCTCTTAACATGGGGAGCGTGGCGTGGTGTGGAGAAGGCTGAGAACCACTGGCGTAATCAATTAGGTTCTGTCTTCCTGCGGCCGGTCGCTGTCACTGCCAATAGCTAACGCTGCAGAAGGAGAGGCCATGGGGAATGCTGTGAAGGGGGATTGATCGGTCCTGATCCACTAGGAGGGTGGTGAAGCACTGGAATAGGTTACCTAGGGAGGTGGTGGAATCTCCTTCCTTAGAGGTTTTTAAGGCCAGGCTTGACAAAGCCCTGGCTGGGATGATTTAGTTGGGGGATTGGCCCTGCTTTGAGCAGGGGGTTGGACTAGATATCTCCTGAGGTCCCTTCCAACACTGATATTCTATGATTCTGTGTTCTGGCAGAAAGCTGTAGCCTGAGCCTTGCTTCCCCTCTCTTAGGCCAGGGTGTGGAGGAAGGAAGCCGCATCTGATGTTCGGTCCAGAATGCTGGGAGAGGCATGTGGGATTGAGCAGAGAAGAGAAGACTTGGCCAGGGCAGGCAGGAGGCTCATCTGACCCTGGGGTTATGGGGGCTCCTAATATTCAGCAAACCAGGCCCCAGCTTTGGGCTTTCCGATGAAAGCTGCACCCATCCCTCCTAGGGAAGGACTTCCTGGCACTTCAGAGCCCACTCATGAGCACCTTGAGGCAATGGGACGTGGGCATGAGATACAATAATTGTTTCTCCACCAGGTGGAGCTGCACCCCTACCTGACCCAGTCCGAGCTGGTGGAGTACTGCAAGTCTAAGGGGATTGTCCTCATAGCATACAGTCCCTTCGGCTGCCCTGCCCTGCCCTGGTAAGTCACCCCTAACGTGCACCCTCGGAGGGTAGATTGAAAGCAGTGGGCTATGCTGGAGGGTGATGTAGCAGGGTGGACACCTGCTCCTGCCTGGAAGGGCCTGAGAGAGCCCAGGGAGCAGACAGCATGAAGGCTGAGCTGATTGGGGGAAGTGACTGCAGCTGGGGCCACGCCCCAAACAGCCTCAGCAGGCCCTATAAAGAGGCTGGGAGCCAGGAGCCCAAGAGTCTCTCTCTGCCTTCAGGGAGAGAAGGGCCTGGCTGCAGGGAGCTAGACACAGGGTACCTGTAGTGGAGCAGGGCTGGGGAAACTCCAGCCTGGAAAGCCCCAGGCTGTGGCCTAGTATTAGGCCAAGAGGTACTGGGGGTTGCAGAGGGCAGCAGGTCCAAACCCCCCTTGCCAGTGATGAGTGGCCTATACTGCAGTCTGCCCCAGGGAACGGGGGCTAGTTGATGACTGGCAGTGGCCTTATTCTGAAGCGAGGTAGGGATAGTGGGTGGGGGTTCCCCAGGGAGGGGAGACCCTAGTACTGAGGGATGTACTGCCAGGGGGCAGTGCCCCGGATACAAGGGCACCGGGGTCTGGGAGGGACATGGGGGGCCAGAGGACAGGCGGATCACTGGCCTGCAGGGGGTGCTCCAGAACGCTGGAAGAGCTGATTCCCCGAAGCAACCAGTAGGGGGCGCCGCAGGGGTGAGTCCAGACCTCTACAGGTGAATACACACAGGACCCAGGCAGTGCTGTTGGCAGTCCTGTCCGCTTGTTAACGTTCAGAGATCAGCGTTTCCCCCTGCTAGGGAGCCGGATTCCAGTCTGGCTTGGGTATCTCTAGGGGAACCACTGCCTGCATTCCAGCAGGAGCAACTGCCTTGTGAGCGTGGGCACCGGAAGGAAGCCAGGGTCTGGGATCCTGGGGTGAGGTTTGCACGGCCGTTAAGAGGAACACGGTGCACGTGTGATCTGGAGTCACGGATGCCAATGATGTTGGTTTCTCAGAGCGGAACTGTGCTCCAAAAGTGACCTGTAAAGGGAGACTGTCCAGTGAGCTAATCAGAGACGAGGGGGAGGTAGAAGGGGTGGGGGTCTTGCTGCTCCACAGTCCATGCTGGTGACTGGCTAAGCAGCAGTTCTGCAGAAAAGGAGTAGGGGTTACAGTGGACAAGAAGCTGGATATGAGTCAACAGTGTGCCCTTTTTGCCAAGAAGGCTAGCGGCATTTTGGGATGTATAAGTAGGGGCATTGCCAGCAGATCGAGGGACATGATGATTCCCCTCCATTTGGCATTGGTGAGGCCTCATCTGGAGTAGTGTGTCCACTTTTGGGCCCCACACTACAAGAAGGATGTGGAAAAATTGGAAAGAGTCCAGCAGAGGGCAACAAAAATGATTAGGGGGCTGGAGCACATGACGTACATGGAGTGTCTGAGGGGACTGGGATTGTTTAGTGTGCAGAAGAGAAAAATGGGGGGGGGGGGTTTGATAGCTGCTTTCAACTACCTGAAGGGGGTTCCAAAGAGGATGGAGCTTGGCTGTTCTCAGTGGTGGCAGATGACAGAACAAGGAGCAATAGTCTCAAATTGCAGTGGGGGAAGTTTAGGTTGGATATTAGGAAACACTATTTCACTAGGAGGGTGGTGAAGCACTGGAATGACTTCCCTAGGGAAGTGGTGGAATCTCCATCCTTAGAGGTTTTTAAGGTCAGGCTTGTCCTGCTTTGAGCAGGGGGTTGGACTAGATGACCTCCTGAGGTCCCTTCCAACCCTGATATTCTATGATTCCATGACTCAGAAAACACCTTCTGGGGACAGTAGATGCCCACAGCACACATCTGTAGCACAAAGGGGCAGTTCTGCCCTGAACTGCCATCGCAGGGCTCTGTGACTGTCTGGCAAATGGAGTGAGTGTGAGCTGGAGGCCTGAGAGGTGTTTCTGTAGCCTGGGCTGGCTCTGAGATACAAGCTGGGTCCTCTTCCTTCATGGCTGGTCACGCTGGCCCACCCAGCCAAGGTCTGGCTGAGATCTTCGCTAGGCTAACTGGGCCGGATTCTGCTCTCACTCCGGTTTGATTTCACTGACTTGGGTGGAGTTGCTTGGCCCAAGAGCATTTACTGGATTCTTTTATCTTTATCAAGAGCCTGGCCAACATAACAGGGGTCCCACTGCATGAGTTCTGGGGTATGGCCCTGCCGCATTGTGACAAAGCAGGGGAGAGTGAGCGGGACCAGGGAGGGGTCCTGGCTGTTATTAGCAGCTGTTGTTTGCACAGTAGCACCAAGGGGCGTTTGTTGACCCTGTCGCTGGCTCAGGGGGAGTGACAGACTCCCTCAGTGCCTTCCCTTCCCTTCCCCGTTTCTCCAGCCAGCAGCAGGAGGCTTTGCTGCCTCCCAGCGGTGCTGTGAAGGCGACTCCCCACCAGCCTTCTGTTTGCAAAGTGCTGCCTGTTCTCCAAGAGCAGCAGCCCTTGTTCAGGACTCTCCATATCCTCTTTCCTTAGCCCTTCGGGGGAGAACAGCCCTGTGCCCCTCCTAGAGAATCCCACGGTGAAGGAGATCGCTCAGAAGCATGGAAAAACCAGCGCTCAGGTGAGGGGGGAACAGCACTGGCCTTAGTGGCGTTTCTCTATATAGACGTGCAACATCCTCTCTAAGCTACACTGGGGGGGGTTGTGGGTGCAGTGTGGAAAAGCGGGTCTCTCGGTCTCTTCCCGCTGACTGTGCTCCTCCTGGCCACCGTGCCAGCCACATATCCTGGCTCACCAGCTCCTGCCCTCTCCGCAGGTTCTCATCCGCTTCCACATTCAGAGAGGCATCGCCGCCATCCCGAAAAGCATCACCCCGGCCCGCATTGTGGAGAACGCAGAGGTAACGGGGATGGCTAGCGAGCCGGGAGCCCTCTTCCGCTCCTGGCGATTGGCTGAGGTGTTACTGTCACCAGAGCGGGGTGAGACACTTCACACAAGCGACGGCTGGGGACTTGTACCAAAGCCGAGCTGTACCCAGCAGGATTTGAACAGCTAGTTCGAGGGACCCTTAAGTATTGGTAGCCTGAGGGTTAGCCCCTCTGTTCGGGGATACGCTCGTAGGCCCTCTGCTTGGAGACCTAAGTGGGTTTGCTCCTCGCAGAACACACAACACAGAGCAAGGTCTGGCTGTTAAACAGCCTGCGTTGGCTGTGAGAATAGCTTGTGTCCCAGAAATCTGGGGGTGGGATTTTTGTCCTTTCACTGAGGAGTTGAGTGGGTGGCCATGCCCATCTGGTAGAGCTGTGCTGAACAAATGCTCAGGGCCGGGCACCCAACAGAAGATCTCCCATTCGCCTCAGAGAGAGAGAGACACACACGCAAAGGCTGGGGGTGAATTTCAGCACAGCAGCTTGAGACGCAGTAACTTCCCATGCACGCGCTGGAGAAGTCCCATGCCCACACCCTGCCATTCCCCGTATCCAGCCTCCTGGTCCCACTCAGACTCCAAGGGGCTGCATTTCCCAGCCTTACAGACTATCCGCCCGCGTCTTCCATGCTTTGCCGTGGACTTGCGTCTCCTGGCAGACTTGGGAGCCTGGGCTTGGAGTCAAAAGCTGTTTCTTCTGGGTAGGTATATGACTTTCACCTGACACACACCGAAATCCAGACGCTGGAAGGACTAGACTGCAACACGCGATTTATTAAATGGAACCTGCTAGGGTGAGTGATTGAAACAGGCTCATCTAACTAAAAAAACGTAGCTTTCAGAGCTCGGCTAACAATATTACACAGGGAAGCTTGCAGGCTAGGAAGCAGTGGGTGCTTTCAGTCATGTGGCACTGGATGGGGATGCAGGAGACCTGGGTTCTATTTCTAGCTTTGCCTCTGGTCTGCTGGGTGACCTGGGACCAGTCACTTCCCATCCTTTGCCTCAGTTTCCCTAAATGCAAAATAGGGATAATGATCCTTTGCTTTTCCTCCACAGGGCTCAAGGTAGATAGGCAGTAGATATTCAGTAGCATCTACTCTTTAAGGCTCTCGAAGCACCTTCCCAATGTTAATTAACCCACAGTGAAGTAGGTAAGGGACCAAACCATGCAGGGATTGTCCCCTTTAGCTTCACGTGGGGTTGTTCCCAAGCCAGTGTGGGTCTCCCCTATTATAAAGGGAGCTGTTTCCTCTCGGATGCAAAGCCATTCAGAGGCAAGGAATACATCACAAAGGTTTGAGCAGCACATTGACGCTCCAGTGTAATACGTGCGGAGTATTGCTATTGTTTGTTTAAGCACTGACTGTAGGCTTGGCCCGCGTACAATACACACAATCAAATCTTCCCTCGTGGCAGGGCTCGCAAATAAGGCCCCGATCCTGAAGTCTGAGAGGCCAGCGTGGGACCCAAAGAGATTTCATCTGGGTGGAGGGCAGGGGTTGGTAGATGCATAACCCAAGCTAGGAGAATGTGGATTTGATGCTCTCTAGTGGCTGGTGCACAGAGATGTTTCAAGCCGCTATAGAGCTGGTTAAAATATAAAGCTGACTTTCTTTCTGAAAATATAAACAAAGTTACCCCCACCCTGAAAACCTTGCTACAGAACTTCTGTTTTTTGACTATAGGAACATTGGAAAAATTTCCCTTCCTCTTCCCTGTTTCCACTGAAAAGAGGGAATGGACCCCAAAAAGGAAACTTCTGGTTTTCAACAGCTGAAAATTTTCAATCAAACTACATTTTCATTTTGATCAAAAAGCCATTTTTAATTGGGGAGGCAGCATTTTTGGTGAAAAATGCTGACCAGCTAAGGCGTGGGTTCTCAACCTTTCCCCTACTGGGTCCCCTCTACCCTTTAATCAAACCTAGCTCCTTATATAACACTTTTCAGCAGTAGATCTGAGAGGTCCAGATTCATGAAGGTACTTAGGCATTCCCAACGTCTTAAACCACCCCCCACCTCCCCTGGGGCCCTGCCAACAAGTGGAATTCTCAGCCCAGCTTTGTGAATCTAGTCCAAAGTGACTTGCTTCAGAGTCATCCAAGCAAAACCTCCATCTCCCGTGTCCCAGTCCACTCGGCCATGCTGCAGGAAGGGCAGGGATTTCACAACCAAACGCTGTTGGCGGCCCATGAAGTTGAGCCCCTTTTGAGCAAATCCAGAGAGGGATGGGCTTAGTTTATTTGTGTTTCTTTTAATTAAACTCATGGGTTAATGTATTCTAAATTAAAGGTTTGAATTCCAGTAAAATTCCCTGTTTTGGCTATTCCTATCACATATATAGAAGAGGTGACTGGCTACCTGCACTGTTTGCTTCTTGAAAAAGCTTTTACATGGAAGATTCTGAATGGTTGTGATAATTATTTACTTAGGATGTATTTGTCTTTTATTCCAGGATGGAGACACACAAACACTTCCCATTCAGTGACAAGTAACTATCGCGGCCTAAAGAAATGGCAAGTCAGTCCTGGAAGATCCGGTTCCCAGTAAATCAACTGCATGTATTGGCAAGCTTTTGAAATGATCCATATCAGCCTCTCAAAATCCTTCTGAAATGTCCTAGGCAAGGTAAATTAAAATCTACTTGCCTACCTGTACACTGGGGTTAAAACTAATTATGTTTTATGCATCCATTTTAAGTGACGTGAGAATGGAGGAGAAGAATTTTACAAGGGTGATTTTAAATATTTGCTCAGCAAAGGACAAGCGGGGGTGGGGAATCTTGATAAGCTATTTGTTCTCTGGAGACAGTTTCTAGATGTGGGGGTAAAGGATTAGACCCTTCTGTAAGGTTCCCCTGATTTTCTTTCAGTAACAATAAAAAACAGCTGCCCAATGACAGCATTTAGCATTCCCGGGTTCATGTGTTGATTTTTCAGGGGACTTTCACCATGCACTGAACATACTGAGGTTTTGTTAAACAGCAGACTGTACCAATGCGCCTTTAACTTGATGCAACATGGGATTTGCAGTCTCCTGTTCAAAACCTTCAGCAATGTAAAGGCTTCAGCTATATTCTGCACCGCTGTGTTATAAATCGGTTAGTTTACTGGGGGGGGGTGGGGGAGAAGAGTCATACCAACCGGAATATTCCTATCAATTGGAGTCAGACTTTGTACTGAAGACAAACCCAATCACTTCAGTCCCACTTAAGTTGTGCCTGTTCTAGCCCCTTACTCCTGATTAAATGGGATGTAAGTGAGGTATAGCCCTTGTGCTGGATAGCCCTGGATGCATAGGTGAATGTCTGTTGGAGACAAGAGTCAGTTTTCACTGTATGTTGCTTACCTTTTTGAGAAGCACCCTTTCCCTTCAAGTGCTCAGCAAACAGGCTAGTTCACTGAACGCATGTGCATAAAAGTCAGCATGTCCTGATGGACTGCACAGTACAGCAAGCTGACCTTGACAGATCACTGGGAGCAACAGTTTTGCGGTGGACTTCAGTGAATGTATGGTCAGGCCCAGTATTAACTTGGAGAGACTTAAATCCTTTAATGTACATTAGATTTATGTGTATTTGGGTTTTTCACCTTCCTCTGCAGCGTGGGGCATGGGCAGTGATGAACTGCCAAAATCTTAGGAACCAGTTCCCTACCAGCCTCTTACTCCCACGGGGGCCCAGCCCGGCGCCAGGGCCGGGGCCCGGGGTCAGGCAGTGCTGTGCAGCCAGAGTTGGGGCTGGGCTGGAGCCAGGCCAGAGCCAGGCAGCGCTGCACAGCCAGGGCTGGGCCGGAGCTGGGCTGGGCCACGCGGTGCCTGGAGTCCTCCTCACGCCCCACCCCCGCCCCAGCTCACCTGCAGGAAGCCCTGCTTCCCACAAATCGGCTGATTCGTGGGAAGCAGGAGAGGGGGAGGAGAAGCCTGGGGAGGGGGATGTCAGGGGAGGAGGCGGACCTAGGTGAGCTGGGGCCTGGAGCAGGGCAGGGAGCTGCCAGAGATTTTTTTTTTTTAAATGTAAAAGCCCTTTTAGAACCAGTAAAAAGCAACAGAGGGTCCTGTGGCACCTTTAAGACTAACAGAAGTATTGGGAGCATAAGCTTTCGTGGGTAAAAACCTCACTTCTTCAGATGCAAGTGAAGGACCCTCTGTTGCTTTTTTACAGATTCAGACTAACACGGCTATCCCTCTGATTTTTAGAACCAGGACAACCGGTTCTAAAAGGGCTTCTAAATTTAACAACCGGTTCCTGCAAACCGGTGGGAACCGGCTCCAGCTCACCACTGGGCACAGGTCACTTGCTGGAGGATTCTCTGCACCTTGCAGTCTTTAAACCACGATTTGAGGACTTCAATAGCTCAGACATAGGTCAGGGGTTTGATAGAGGAGTGGGTGGGTGACCTCCTGTGTTGTGCAAGGATCATAATGGTCCCTAGTCCATTATGAAGGGATCATAATGGTCCCTTCTTACCTTAAAGTCTATGATTTGGGTTTTTAAGGTACACAAGTTCACATACCTCAGGTGTTACAATACACTAGCCCCTGCTTAGTGTTGTCTGTTCAGTTTGTTTGCCAGATGATGACCATTATGTGTGTTGAATGGATGTAGTGTAAATTTGGACGTATAGTCTAGGAGTGTAAAGCTGTGCGTGTGGTTAGAATGAAAACAAAACTGAAATATGTCAGATGAAACTTTCCTATGGACCTAGTTGAAATAACTAATTATATGCAAGTTATCACGGCTGTTTCACATTGAATTGGAAAGGGAAGGATTCATTTAGATGGCTAATACTTAACAATATTTAATACTTTGTACAGGGTTTTGAAGATGCAATGTCTTTAGCTGAAATCTCACATTTAAACTTCCTCTCCAGCCTCTTCAGTTTGTTACTGCACATTGTTCTCACAGGGCAGTTTGTTTTAAATTGAGAAGTTAATTGTTCCTTAATTATAACAGATGTGCAAAAACATCTCTAGGTTGCCTTTCAGCCCTGTCTGTTAGTGCCCTCTTGTGGGGTAAAGGTAATTCACTCCCGGTCTGGTCTAAAGCTGAAAAGTTACCCCAACCCTGCTCTTCAAGGACACCCGTTGCAAGATGGGGGTCTATAACGGTGTTGGGACTAACCACAGCACCTCCCGCTGGTGACTCTGGGAATTAGCTCAGTCCAGTGGAGCGCCCAGTCCTGGTGGTGTCCCGGCCATTGTCTCAGCCTCGGTTGGCGTCTGAGCCTGTGTCGCTCTCAACTTGCAGCATCCTCTTCGAGCCACTGCCCTCCAGCAGTGCCCCTTAGTCCATCCCCGCTCCCTTCCAGGGGGGTTGGGGGAGGGGTCACTCAGCTGTCTCTCTGTGCCCTGGCCAATGTGGGCAACTACACCCCTAAAGTCACAGCCCTCTTGGCAGGGGGTTGGTGCAGCCCAAGACAGCCACTCCCGTCAGCTGGGTATAAGGCAAGGGGGATGGGGGGGGGGAACCCAGGCCCACCCACTACTCTGGGTCCCAACCCAGGGACCCTCTAGTAGTAGCCATCCTGTCCTCCCTCTGTCTGTCTACGTCCTTGGGCCGCTCCCCCTTCGGCCCCTCGCACAGGCTAGGCCCTTCCCCTCAGGGCCTGCAATCTGGCAGACACCGGGATGAAGTTCCCTTCTGCTCCCCCAGGCCTGCCCAGCACTGCGCTGTCCTAGGTGCTAATCTCCCCACCTCTGGAGACAGACCTTCACCCATGAAGGTCTGGGACAGACTGACTACTCCCTTCCTGGGCAGCCTTTATATAGGGCTGAGCCTGGCCCTGATTGCCTGTCTCCAATCTGGGCCCCGATTGGCTCCCAATAAGTCATTCTCTGATTGGCTGCCCATCTGCACAGGTGCACTGGCCTGCTGCAGCCTAAATTCTCAGGGAGTGGGGTAGCTGCCTCACTACCGGGTCCTACTTATTTAATCCTGCAGGCTATAGTTTTCCTCCACCTCTTAAGTCGGAGGCCAGGAGCCCAGCTTTTCCCATGGTGCCCTAATGCAAAATGTCCTGTGGGAAGCCCAGCTCCAATCAGGGTTAAGTACACAACTGAAGCTGCTTCCCTTCTTCCTTGCGTAGATCACACAGAGCTGGCTTCTTTAGAAGCCAAGAACAGCTTTGTTGGACTTAACTGGGTCCAGAACAAGGCTTAGAGCTTGAGGAGTTGCTTTGAAGGGGTTGGATTTGTGACAAATGCAGGAATTAACCTTGTTTACATGGCAAGGAGGACGGAGTTTGGGCAAATACAAAAAGGCAACTCCCCCTTCTCAAGCACCCAGCATTTACCTTTTAGCCTACAGCCAGATTTAAAAAGGAGTCTTATTAATGAGTTAGGGTAACCCATCAGCTAGAAAAATGTCATTGTAGTCACACATTAGGCACAGAGCTGGTGGTCGTCACTAGGGTGGATGGAGATGCTGGAAGTGGTGCAGTTTTCCCCATCACATAATGTTTAAAGGTTATCTGGCATCCAACCTGGAAAAATCATAAAATCCCAAAAAGGGCCATAACTGGAAGCAACATTGGCTAATCTTGACCAAAATTGGCAGAAATCTTCTAAATATAATTGATAATGCAACTATGTACCTAAAATAGTAGTGTTTGGGACCTGTTTAGCCCCAAGTCACAGATTTTATGCATTTCCCTGTACTTTTTTGCCTTCAGTTAAACAAAAGTCTATAGTCACATGACAGTAGGAGCCTCTTTCTACCATGTATTACATCAACATATTGGCCATTATTTATCATTATGATTTGAGACGTCGGCTGTCTGCTATTTTATAAATGTTGGCTACTGCTCAACAATTCCTGCACCAGCAACTCATGTTAATACAGCGTACACCATGATGAAATATTTTCCGGCTATGGTCCAGTCTCTGGGCCAAGACTAGACCTGTGTCATCTATGATGAAGCAATCTCCTGCAAAGCCTGGTTGATGAAATGAGGAATCAAAATGAATTGGACAATGACCACCTCGAGATGGGAGGCAAGCATTGTGCAGTGAATTTCATGTGTGATGGAGGCAATGTGATGCAAGACAGTGGATTTGAAGACATCCTTGTGGAAAGTAGCCTCTGTAGTGCTCCAGTCATCAGCCATGCTCTAAGAGGGAACCATCTAACCATGGCGTTAAAGTCCACAAACGTATAAATGTGTCAATAAATCGATTGAAATGGATGGCACTTAGTGATTCCATGGACAATGATATTGTCCCAGAAGATGAAAAGAGACATCTTGGAGAAAGCGCAAACATGCACGGAAGCATTTGAAGATGTGGAGAAAGCACAGGATGAAAACCGAGTGGAAGCACAGAATGCTCTGGCAGGCTTTATGAACCAAGCCCGATCACTCCATCGGCTCATGGACACTTACCTTACAGTACCGGTCTGGGGTTCTCACCCTGCTGAAGCTGTTATACTAATTCAATCTTATTGGGCTGACAAAAACCTGTCTCTCCCTGTATAATGCAGGAGATGGCTGCTACCTAGGTGAGCAGCTCTGGTGGGTTCAAATTTGCCCTCTACTTCTCCTGGAGGACTGTGAACGGGGGCTCCAGCCGTCCAGGTGTCTGGTGTATAGGGATGGGGAGCTCCCTTGCTTTTGCCTGTGGAAACTGTTCCACATGAATTAACTATTGTTTGAGTGGCAGCAAAACCAATACTCCAGCTATAGGCCAGTGGTTAGCCTAGGTGCTTCAGTTCTAGGAGCTGCAGATTCAACTTCTTCCCCCCCAACACCCCACCCTACCCTGTTAAGCAGGGTAGGTGTTGAATGCAGCTGTGGGGGGTGTGCCTTGAACTTTCGGCTCATGTCCTCCTGCCTGTGGAAGCTGTTCCACTTTAATTAAATGGTAGTTGGGCCAGCAACTCCCTGCAGCTTTCCCTGCAGTCCAGTGGCTAGGGTG